ACCTCCATGCACAAGTAGGTTGAAACCATACAACACATGCTCTAAATCCACAACTACTATAGGATGACAATGTCGAATCTTCAGAGCGCGATTCGTTACGCGCTATAATAACATCACATGACGAATCTTTAGTGTGCGACTCGTTACATGCTATAACAATATAATCCAATATTGAAAACATAAACTCATAAATTCATTATAAGTCAAAAGTCATGATTTAAACATACTATCAATGTCAAATACATGAGTTAATCAATAATACAATAGAAACGGAATTTAATAAATAAACTAATTAAATTCTCTAGGTTTCAAATCTCAATCAAATGGCCTCCAATTAATGCATGTTAAATAACATAGCATGGTATCCACACACATTCACTAAAATCTCAAGTAGGCCGTAAGAACAATAAAGTGGAATTTAACTAAATCATGATAATCAAATCCCTAACTTCTAAAACAACATCTAATGGTTCCAAATTAACATATGCTAGAACATAAGTCATAGTTATCACAAATATCAAGTTAAACACTTAACTAGGCCAATAGAACCCTTAATTAGATTTTAATTAATCATTTTAATTAAAATCTCTAGATTTTCATACATGTCCAAATGCTCTCAAATTAAAGTATGTTAAACAACATGTCAAGACATAATTTAAAAGCATATCACAAATCAATTTCAAGCAAGGTATGTCCATGGGATTTAATCTTTCACAAAAGATAAATATTAAATAAAAAGTGCAATTCTTATTCAATTAAACCCAATTTAATATATGTCAACAAACATAATAAAACTAGATATTCTAGCATGCCACAATTCAAATCAAAGTTATGTATCATCATGAATTTTAAATCTTATACAAAGAAATAAAAATTAATAACTTTCAAGATTTGATACAAGGCATATATATAAGTTGTATAATCATGCTAAACACTCAACACAACACACACAAAAGCCTAAAATATTCCCTACCTCAATTTGAGATGAAAATCTCAAAAGCCATCAAAATGTAACGGCTCCGAATCCGACGAAACTACTAGGTTTTGTCGGGGACTACACCGTGCACATAACCCCCATGAAAACCCCATCAAAATCACGAACTTGACCTCAAAACCAAACTCAAAATTTAGCTCGAAATGGGTTCCAACAAGGGTGAAAGATATAGCACGGCGAGGGTAACAACAAACGTTAAGGCCGAAGACTTTCCATCAAAGAAAAGTGAACCAAAAGAGGAGAGAGAAGATGGCAGCACCCCTTGGGCTGCCATGGGAGCTCCAGGTCGTGCTTGAAGAGGGGAGAAGATGAAAAATGAAATATCTCACCCCCCTTTTATAAAAATCTCAAAAAGTGCCCCGAACGGGCCCCACCGGGTCTGAAAAAGTAAAATTTGAGCAGATGCACTCAAATGGAAAAACTTTGTGAATAAAAAAGATTCAAAATGAGAAAATATGAACAACGAAAAAAAACGGCGTCTAAAACAGAGTCCCGAACAGAAAGTTATGCCCAAAACAAGTTTGGCGCAAACTAGGGCCAGAAACCCTGAAACTGGAAAATATCGACTAGGAGGAAATTCCAAGAGTACACAACTCGATGAAAAGTAAAAATGAATCCCGTATAAGGATCCATGCTCAAAATAAGGCATTTAGCAATAACTTTCATTAATTGCACAATGGCCCCTCCAAAAAGTGAAAACTGCACTAATGACCCAGAATAAAAATATCTTCCAAAAATATTTTGTTAAAAACCCCTAAAATAAAATATGTTCAAAAGATATTTACGAAAAACACTTCAAGAAAAGAAAATAATTTCAAAGAACTTTGCATCCATACCCTTATGGACACCGGAAGCAACCAGAGTACTTTCTTGCAAAAGTAAAGATACGTATTTCGTGGAAACCACTCAAGATGGAGATACATGAAGTCAAAAACCAACTTCGAACATAAGAAGTGTGGTTATGCCAACAAAGTGTCAAACGAGGAAAAGACAAAATTGGGAAAATGACGAAATTGGGAAAATGACAAAAAGTGAATAGTGTCGAAAAACGAAAAATGTGGAAACGACTAGGTCCTCAAAGAAAGTTGTCAATCCACATAAAAAAAGTCTCGAAAACCACTCCAGAGCACTTGAGACGACACTAATCAACAAGAAACCCAACTCAGAAAGGAAAGACAACGGAAAAAAATTATCCGTGAAAATCCGGTTCATTACAATGTTCCTAAAGTTATGAGAAAGTATCTGGATATCTTTACCAACAGGCGCTTAGCGGTACTAAGCCCTTATTTCTCAAAGAGAGGTTAGAGGTTCGAGCCTCCATGGAGGCATGTGTGTGTGAGTACCCAATTAGGAATAATAATAATAAAAAAAAAAGCATCTGCATTTTGGAAAACTTTACTTTTAAAGTCCCTTCATGAATAACTTGTAAAATATCCCAAGCATCTTTAATAGTTTTACAATCAGAAATTTTAGCATATTCAGATGGAATAACAGAATTAATAATTACATATAAAGTTTTTCCATTAGTATCATTACTCAGTTTCAACAGTAATAAAAACAAAGACATCTTTCAAAACTTTTATTTCTTTACCGTCCACAGTTTTATATTCTGTAGGTGGTGTATAACCAGATTCAACAATAGCTCAAGTTTTACCTCCTGAATTTTGCAAATAAGCTCTCATTTTAGATTTCTAAAAATTGTAATTGTTCCTATCAAATAAATGATCATGTTGATCAGAACCTCCTTTTTTTAACGCATATGACATGATGAAAACAAAATTTTCAAATCAATCAAAACTTTCCACAAGGATCAACTCAATGTATAGAGATTGACTCTGATACTAATTTGTGAGTTGTACGCAGTGGAACATTTAAAAAAAAATTTATTTTTAGAAACAGATCTGTGTCTTTCTAACTTTACTTATTTTAATAATTAAATAATTAATCACATGCAAGATAAAATAAAGCAAAGTAATAGAGTTAGAGATGACACCATGATTTTTAGTGAGGAAACTCCAATTGGTAAAATAGACCAATTGTTTGCGTGGGAAAAACCTCGTGGACTATTCAGTCTAAAGTAAATCAATCCACTATATTTGAAGCAAAGTATTCTGAACTTTGACTCAGGCTCACACCCTATCGTTCTACTAAACACCAATAGTTGACAATCCTCCGGCGTTGTAACGTTCCGTCCAATAGCATTTGACCTCATGCTTATTCTTGATCTCTATAGAAGGGTTGCAGGTAAATCAAATAATACTCCTCGAATGTTTTGACCCTTTCAAAGAGTGACCGCACGCTTTTACTTCTGTTCTTCAATATATGAATTCGATATAGAAGTAGATCTGTTTTTCTTCGATCGTTATAGATGCAAGACTTCGATAACGATAAGGATTTAAACAACACTCTAAAATCACTCTTGTGTTTATGTGCGTGTTCTAAAAAGAATGACAGAAAAATCAACTTTGATTTTCTGTAAAAATATCTCTCTAAGGCTTTTTATGAATTATGAAGTTATAATACAAAAGCCATACAAACCTAGATTAATATCTGGGTTTATATAGAATATTCAAAGACCTAATCCTTTATAAAATAAAGGAAATCTCATGTATAGGACTTTTGGTAATATTCTAAACTAGCTAGGAAGTTTGAAACATAATAGGACAAAGTTACCTTAATCTGAAACAACAGTGGTATCGGTAGCCAGATGTGGAACTGGTTTCCAAAGGACAGAATGATGTTCTTTGAATATAAGGTTCTTGAACCGGTTCTCAAATTTGGTACCAGTTCCCACTCGACAGATTTCTAATATAACTTGGAAATCGTGTTTTTGGTAACTTCAAAAAACATACCATGTAGGTATTGTGTCCTAAGTGGGAAATACCTTCCTAAAAGTGTTGTTCTTTCCTGTTTTGATAATTTCAGTTTACTATCTTCGAATAACCTTCCAATTCCGCAGTCGATCTCGATCTTGATATGATAATTAACTTGAAATTACAACTCGATCAAGATTTGTTTTGACATTGAAATTTTCTAATTACGAAAATAATATCTCACAAATAACAATACATTTGCTTTATAAAACATACTTTTTATACAAATATATTGAATCTGAAATGATGTCACCATGGGCGGAGCCAGGATTGCAAAGTAAGGGACTAAAGTTAATAAGAAAATTTGAAGATGAACACAATAATTCTTATGATAAAGATATTATATATATATTCAAAAATAGACCAAAAAATGATGGTGTTCTCATTTATCAAATCAAGTTTTTAAGGGGATAAAAATAAAAAATCACCCGTAAATAGAGTTTCTTAATCTCAGAGAGATTCTTATTTTTATACGTATTATCTTCATAGATTTTTTTTTATCTATATTACTTCAAAAAGATGAGAAATTGGACTCCCTCTCAAGTCTTTGCAATTTCCTTACTAGACCCCAAACATGCCAAACCCTATGAGGGAAAATACTGCCACATATTGAGAGGAAGTGGCTGAAAAGTAATAAAAATTGATTACATATCACATATGGATTGGGTTGATAGGAAGAGGAGTCGTAGTACGATTAGGTTGATAGGAAGAGAAATAATAGTACTAAAAATTGATTACAAATGGACTGGGTTGATAAGAATAGTAGTACTAATTTTTTTAAAAAAATTGGACTTAGGCTATAGTCCAGGTTAGCCGATTAAAAGCTTCGCCCATGGATGTCACTAGCACTTCAAAAATAAAAATATTTAGGATTCACATTAATGGCAAGGGCGAATGTAGGGGTGAACTTCGGTGGACTTGAGCCCAAAAAAAAATAAAAAATAAAAAATAAAAAATAAAAATAAAAATAAAAATAAAAATTCACTATACTAATTTTAGCCCAATCAAAAAAAAAAATTATTAACATTATTAGCCACCCCAAAATTAGCCCACCCAATCAAGCTCAAGTTAATTCGGACACTGTTCTAAAATAAACGCCCCAGCCAAATAAGCTGGTAGGCCCTGACCCAAGGGCGACAAAGGCCGTAGCCTAGGCCTCAAAATTTCCTCAAACTATATAGGCCCATGGATGATTTGGGTATGAAAAAATAAAAATAAAAATAAAAAAAATAAATTTAGGGCAAATCATTTCAGCCTCCCCAATCGCCTCCGTCTCTATTCTCGTTCTCAACTCTGAAGTCTGAACTTGCCCACTCCCTCTCTCTCTCTCTCTCTCTCTCTCTGCAACTGCAAACTACAAAATCTACAAGAATCAGAAGTTCAAAACCCATATATTTCAGTTTGTCTGCAAGAATCAAAAGTTGAAAACCTATTACCTATATCAAAACCCATATCGGCATATCATTTCAGATTGTTCAAAAAATCGAAACCCATATCTTTCAAGTTTCCATCGCCCGCTGTTCCAGATCGGGTTCGCCGTTCGCAAGCTTCAGCCGCTGTCTCTCAACTCTCAAGCTTGCCCCCCTATCTCTCTGCAACTGCTAATTTGCATTGCATTTTGAGGTAATCACCGTAATCTACATTTTAATATATCTTTTTTATTTCTATAACTTCTATATCTGTTTTTTTTGTTGTCAATTATGTCTACAAGAAAATTTGAATCTGGGCATGAAAAAAGAAGGAAAAAAAAAAAAAAAAATCTGCGGAGGTTGAATCTGAGACAATTTTTATCAACATGCCAAGCGTTTTGGAGATGGAAATCTTTTCAGAACTAAAAAAAAAAAAAAAATTCATAACAAGAATTTTGACAAGCAAAACTACTTAATATAGGGTAAAGCTCTAAAGTTACTTCTTGAAAATTAAAATATTTTCAAAAAGCATGCTTTTGAGTGAATTCCATAGTGTTGGAAGGGGCTTGCCATGAACTACCTCACACTCTACGTCCACTTGTAAATTCTTCAAAAGAAGAGATAGGGTGGTTGCCCCTCTTTGTAAACAATGATCTCGTACAAAATAAGGGTGGTTGCCAACTCTGAACTTGCCCTGCACTCGGAAAAAGAATGAGGCTCGTTCAGAGGGATGGGATGTTTCTAATGGTGGTTGCCCCTCTCTGTAAACGATGATCTCCTACAAAATAAGGGATGGGAGATCATCTAGAGCCAATGATTTCATTTCCAGCAGAATCAACAGCCCTTTGTGTATGTCTATATATATATATTTGTGTGTGTGCGTGCGCATGCTGGACTGGTGCATCTCCAATCCTTCTTCTTCCATCATCATCATCATCATCATCAATCATCATTATAAGAGGCTGTGATGACATATGTTCTGAGTGGATCATACTGGCATTGAGAATCGTATCCGTTTGTTGGTGGGGCAAACCAGAGGGTCTATGGGAGAGAGATTTGGTTCTTCTCTCACAGGCAACTGTTCTTGCAGCCAGGGCGGTGGGATATACTCTTGCCCTGATCAAAAGCAGATCTGAGCCTCAATTGTATTTTATTGAAAATTTTCAAAAAAAAAAAAAAAAACTCTTATAATGTTTTTTTTTTTTTTTTTTTTGCAATATAAATTAACAAAATTTGCATTAATCACTGTAATCTACATTTTATTTCAGCAAAACAAATATTTTTTTTAGGGCAAATCATTTCAGCCTCCCCAATCGCCTCCATCTTTATTCTTGTTCTCAACTCTGAACTTGCCCTGCACTCGGAAAAAGAATGAGGCTCGTTCAGAGGGATGGGATGTTTCTAAGGGTGGTTGCCCCTCTCTGTAAACGATGATCTCCTACAAAATAAGGGATGTGAGATCATCTAGAGCCAATGATTTCATTTCCTACAGAATCAACAACCCTCTGTGTATGTTTATATATATTTCATTTCCTACAGAGTCAACAACCCTTTGTGTGTGCGCACGCGCGCTGGACTGGTGCGTCTCCAATCCTTCTTCTTCCATTATCATCATCATCAATCATCATTATAAGAGGCTGAGATGATATATGTTCAGAGTGGATCATACTGGCATTGAGAATCGGATCCGTTTGTTGGCGGGGCAAACCAGAGGGTCTGTGGGAGAGAGATTTGGTTCGTCTCTCACAGGCAACTGTTGTTGTAGCCAGGGCGGTGGGATATACTCTTGCCATGATCAAAAGCAGATCTGAGCCTCAATTGTATTTTATTGAAAATTTTCAAAAAAAAAAAAAAAAAAACTCTTATATGTTTTTTTTTTTTTTTTTTTTTGCAATATAAAGTAACAAAATTTGCATTACATTTTGAGGTAATCACCGAAATCTACATTTTATTTCAGCAAAACAAATATTTTTTTTAGGGCAAATCATTTCAGCCTCCCCAATCGCCTCCATCTTTATTCTTGTTCTCAACTCTGAACTTGCCCTGCACTCGGAAAAAGAATGAGGCTCGTTCAGAGGGATGGGATGTTTCTAAGGGTGGTTGCCCCTCTCTATAAACGATGATCTCCTACAAAATAAGGGATGTGAGATCATCTAGAGCCAATGACTTCATTTCCTACGGAATCAACAGCCCCTTGTGTGCGCGCGCTGGACTGGTGCGTCTCCAATCCTTCTTCTTCCATTATCATCATCATCAACAATCATCATTATAAGAGGCTGTGATGATATATGTTCTGAGTGGATCTGTCACGTCCCGAAAATTCTAATAAAATCCTCAATTCATTCAAATCAAAATACATCAAAATACACCAGGAACAAAAAAAAAAATGCCTCATTTATACAAAGTCAATTTCCTCAAATATATATAAAATTCTCCAAATAAATAAAATAAATCCTGCAACGCCAACTCTTCCACCTAAGCCTGAATTTAGCAATCCCCGTTCATCTTTGGTACCCGAAACTGGAGGGTTGTGAGACAAAGTCATAACAAGAATTTCATGAGATTTAATAAAACAGCTTCATAAAATATACATATTCATGTGAGCATATAAACAAAATACATATGCATTTAATTAAAGCATTTAATAAAAAACCATTGAAGCAAAACCACCCCATGCCATTCAAGGTATAGAGAACCCTACACTGAAAAAGAAATATTTCTTCACTGGATCATCAAAGCCTCAAGCTCCAGGACTCCTCTCCTCTGCAACCTCAGCTCCTCTCTCTGTCTCTCTCTCTCTAATTTTTCTTTCTTTCTTCTCTTCTCCTTTCCTATTTCTTTCTCTCAAAATTTCGGCAGCCACCTATCACCATCAGATTACATATATATTTATATATATATATATATATATATAAAATCAAAACATCAAACACACTAAAAATTTAAATTGGGTAAATCTCCAAATTTAAAATTAAATAAGACAGCTAAAAATTATGAAATAAATTAAATTAAAATGTAAAAAATTCGGGTTATCAGAGGATCATACTGGCATTGAGAAGCGGATCCGTTTGTTGGCGGGGCAAACCAGAGGGTCTGTGGGAAAGAGATTTGTTTCTTCTCTCACAGGCAACTGTTGTTGCAGCCAGGGCGGTGGGATATACTCTTGCCATGATCAAAAGGAGATCTGAGCCTCAATTGTATTTTATTGAACATTTTCCAAAAAAAAAAAAAAAAAACACTCTTATAATGTTTTTTTTTTGCAATATAAAGTAACAAAATTTGCATTTCATTTTGAGGTAATCACCTTAATCTACATTTTATTTCAGCAAAACAAATATTTTTTTTAGGGCAAATCATTTCAGCCTCCCCAATCGCCTTCATCTTTATTTTTGTTCTCAACTCTGAACTTACCCTGCACTCGGAAAAAGAATGCCCCTCTCTGTAAACGATGATCTCCAACAAAATAAGGGATGTGAGATCATCTAGTGCCAATGATTTCATTTCCTACAGAATCAACAGCCCTTTGTGTATGTATATATATATTTCAATTCCTACAGAATCAACAGCCCTTTGTGTGTCTGTGCGCGCTGGACTGGTGCGTCTCCAATCCTTCTTCTTCCATCATCATCATCATCAATCATCATTATAAGAGGGTGTGATGATATATTTTCTGAGTGGATCATGCTGGCATTGAGAATCGGATCTGTTTGTTGGCGGAGCAAACCAGAGGGTCTGTGGCAGAGAGATTTGGTTCTTCTCTCACAGGCAACTGTTGTTGCAGCCAGGGCGGTGGGATATACTCTTGCTCTGATCAAAAGCAGGCCTGAGCCTCAATTGTAAGTTATGAATTATGTATCCATAAATAAACCTCTGAGCCAATTAAGTGTATTTATTGAAAAATTTCAAAAAAAAAAAAAAACTCTGAACTTGCCCTCTCTCTCTTTCTCTCTCTGCAACTGCAAACTACAAAATCTACAAGAATCAGAAGTTCAAAACGGATATATTTCAGTTTATCTATCTGTCTGCAAGAATCAAAAGTTCAAAACCCATATCCTATTTGGTGAGGCTTGTTCAGAGGGATGGGATGTTTCTAAGGGTGGTTGCCCCTCTCTGTAAACGATGATCTCCTACAAAATAAGGGATGGGAGATCATCTAGAGCCAATTATTTCATTTCCTACAGAATCAACAGCCCTTTGTGTATGTGTGTGTGTGTATATATATATATATATTTTGGTAAGTCTTTGTGTATGTGTGTGTGTATATATATATATATATATATATATATTTGTGTGTGTGAGCTCGCGCTGTGGACTAGTGCATCTCCAATCCTCCTCCTTCCATCATCATCAATCATCAATCATCATTATATGAGGCTGTGATGATATATGTTCTAAGTGGATCATACTGGCATTGAGAATCGGATCCGTTTGTTGGCGGGGCAAACCAGAGGGGGTCTGTGGGAGAGAGATTTGGTTCTTCTCTCACAGGCAACTGTTGTTGCAGCCAGGGCGGTGGGATATACTCTTGCCCTGATCAAAAGCAGATCTGAGCCTCAATTGTAAGTTATGAATTATGTATCCATAAATAAAACTCTGTGAGCCTCAATTAACCCACAGGGACTGTTTTGCACTATATCTAAAATTGGCCTCAAAATTTGAGGCCCATAGGGATGGAAAAAAAAAAAAAAAAAAAAAAGGTAAGTTAGGGCAAGTTTCAGAGGACACAATCTGCTTCGACACTCCGCAGGGCACAGCCTCATGTGACAATGTATGTTCATTCTCTCTCTCTCTTCTCTCTCCTTGCATGAATCGATCTTTTATATATGTTTCTTTCGATCATCTCATCGTTTGATTTGTTCTAACTTTGGTTCGTTTGATTAGGGCCTTTACCTTTGTTCCAGGGCCGGCCCTGACCCAAGGCAACAAAGGCGGTCGCCTAGGGCCTCAAAATTTATAAGCCCATGGATGATGGGCCACCAGAAAAAAAAAAAAAAAAAAAAAAAAAAAAAAATAGTTTTAGGGCAAATCATTTCAGCCTCCCCAATCGCCTCCATCTCTATTCTTGTTCTCCACTCTGAGCTTGCCCTGCACTCGGAAAAATGATGAGGCTCGTTCAGAGGGATGGGATGTTTCTAAGGGTGGTTGCCCCTCTCTGTAAACGATGATCTCCTACAAAATAAGGGATGGGAGATCATCTAGAGCCAATGATTTCATTTCCTACACAATCAACAGCCCTTTGTGTATGTATATATATATATTTGTGTGTGCGCACGCGCTGTGGACTGGTGCATCTCCAATCCTTCTTCCATCATCATCATCATCATCATCATCATCATCACCAATCATCAATAATCATTATAAGAGGCTGTGATGATATATGTTCTGAGTGGATCATACTGGCTGGCATTGAGAATCGGATCCGTTTGTTGGCGGGGCAAACCAGAGGGTCTGTGGGAGAGAGATTTGGTTCTTCTCTCACAGGCAACTGTTGTTGCAGCCAGGGCGGTGGGATATACTCTTGCCCTGATCAAAAGCAAATCTGAGCCTCAATTGTAAGTGTATTTTATTTAAAAAAAAAAAAAAAAAAAACTCCGAACTTGCCCTCTCTCTCTCTCTCTCTCTCTCTCTGCAACTGCAAACTACAAAATCTACAAGAATCAGAAGTTCAAAACCCATATTTTTCAGTTTATCAATCTGTCTGCAAGAATCAAAAGTTCTAAGGGTGGTTGTCCCTCTCTGTAAACGATGATATCCTACAAAATAAGGGATGGGAGATCATCTAGAGCCAATGATTTCATTTCCTACAGAATCAACAGCCCTTTGTGTATGTGTGTGTGTGTATATATATATATATATTTTGGTAAGTCTTTGTGTATGTGTGTGTGTATATATATATATATATATATATTTGTGTGTGTGAGCTCGCGCTGTGGACTGGTGCATCTCCAATCCTCCTCCTTCCATCATCATCAATCATCAATCATCATTATATGAGGCTGTGATGATATATGTTCTAAGTGGATCATACTGGCATTGAGAATCGGATCCGTTTGTTGGCGGGGCAAACCAGAGGGGGTCTGTGGGAGAGAGATTTGGTTCTTCTCTCACAGGCAACTGTTGTTGCAGCCAGGGCGGTGGGATATACTCTTGCCCTGATCAAAAGCAGATCTGAGCCTCAATTGTAAGTTATGAATTATGTATCCATAAATAAAACTCTGTGAGCCTCAATTAACCCACAGGGACTGTTTTGCACTATATCTAAAATTGGCCTCAAAATTTGAGGCCCATAGGGATGGAAAAAAAAAAAAAAAAAAGGTAAGTTAGGGCAAGTTTCAGAGGACACAATCTGCTTCGACACTCCGCAGGGCACAGCCTCATGTGACAATGTATGTTCATTCTCTCTCTCTCTTCTCTCTCCTTTTGCATGAATCGATCTTTTATATATGTTTCTTTCGATCATCTCATCGTTTGATTTGTTCTAACTTTGGTTCGTTTGATTAGGGCCTTTACCTTTGTTCCAGGGCCGGCCCTGACCCAAGGCAACAAAGGCGGTCGCCTAGGGCCTCAAAATTTATAAGCCCATGGATGATGGGCCACCAGAAAAAAAAAAAAAAAAAAAAAAAAAAAAAAAATAGTTTTAGGGCAAATCATTTCAGCCTCCCCAATCGCCTCCATCTCTATTCTTGTTCTCCACTCTGAGCTTGCCCTGCACTCGGAAAAATGATGAGGCTCGTTCAGAGGGATGGGATGTTTCTAAGGGTGGTTGCCCCTCTCTGTAAACGATGATCTCCTACAAAATAAGGGATGGGAGATCATCTAGAGCCAATGATTTCATTTCCTACACAATCAACAGCCCTTTGTGTATGTATATATATATATTTGTGTGTGCGCGCGCGCTGTGGACTGGTGCATCTCCAATCCTTCTTCCATCATCATCATCATCATCATCATCATCATCACCAATCATCAATAATCATTATAAGAGGCTGTGATGATATATGTTCTGAGTGGATCATACTGGCTGGCATTGAGAATCGGATCCGTTTGTTGGCGGGGCAAACCAGAGGGTCTGTGGGAGAGAGATTTGGTTCTTCTCTCACAGGCAACTGTTGTTGCAGCCAGGGCGGTGGGATATACTCTTGCCCTGATCAAAAGCAAATCTGAGCCTCAATTGTAAGTGTATTTTATTTAAAAAAAAAAAAAAAAAAACTCCGAACTTGCCCTCTCTCTCTCTCTCTCTCTCTCTCTGCAACTGCAAACTACAAAATCTACAAGAATCAGAAGTTCAAAACCCATATTTTTCAGTTTATCAATCTGTCTGCAAGAATCAAAAGTTCTAAGGGTGGTTGTCCCTCTCTGTAAATGATGATATCCTACAAAATAAGGGATGGGAGATCATCTAGAGCCAATGATTTCATTTCCTACAGAATCAACAGCCCTTTGTGTATGTGTGTGTGTGTGTGTATATATATATATTTTGGTAAGTCTTTGTGTATGTGTGTGTGTGTATATATATATATATATATATATTTGTGTGTGTGAGCTCGCGCTGTGGACTGGTGCATCTCCAATCCTCCTCCTTCCATCATCATCAATCATCAATCATCATTATATGAGGCTGTGATGATATATGTTCTAAGTGGATCATACTGGCATTGAGAATCGGATCCGTTTGTTGGCGGGGCAAACCAGAGGGGGTCTGTGGGAGAGAGATTTGGTTCTTCTCTCACAGGCAACTGTTGTTGCAGCCAGGGCGGTGGGATATACTCTTGCCCTGATCAAAAGCAGATCTGAGCCTCAATTGTAAGTTATGAATTATGTATCCATAAATAAAACTCTGTGAGCCTCAATTAACCCACAGGGACTGTTTTGCACTATATCTAAAATTGGCCTCAAAATTTGAGGCCCATAGGGATGGAAAAAAAAAAAAAAAAAAAAAAAAAGGTAAGTTAGGGCAAGTTTCAGAGGACACAATCTGCTTCGACACTCCGCAGGGCACAGCCTCATGTGACAATGTATGTTCATTCTCTCTCTCTCTTCTCTCTCCTTTTGTATGAATCGATCTTTTATATATGTTTCTTTCGATCATCTTATCGTTTGATTTGTTCTAACTTTGGTTCGTTTGATTAGGGCCTTTACCTTTGTTCCAGGGCCGGCCCTGACCCAAGGCAACAAAGGCGGTCGCCTAGGGCCTCAAAATTTATAAGCCCATGGATGATGGGCCACCAGAAAAAAAAAAAAAAAAAAAAAATAGTTTTAGGGCAAATCATTTCAGCCTCCCCAATCGCCTCCATCTCTATTCTTGTTCTCCACTCTGAGCTTGCCCTGCACTCGGAAAAATGATGAGGCTCGTTCAGAGGGATGGGATGTTTCTAAGGGTGGTTGCCCCTCTCTGTAAACGATGATCTCCTACAAAATAAGGGATGGGAGATCATCTAGAGCCAATGATTTCATTTCCTACACAATCAACAGCCCTTTGTGTATGTATATATATATATTTGTGTGTGCGCGCGCGCTGTGGACTGGTGCATCTCCAATCCTTCTTCCATCATCATCATCATCATCATCATCATCATCACCAATCATCAATAATCATTATAAGAGGCTGTGATGATATATGTTCTGAGTGGATCATACTGGCTGGCATTGAGAATCGGATCCGTTTGTTGGCGGGGCAAACCAGAGGGTCTGTGGGAGAGAGATTTGGTTCTTCTCTCACAGGCAACTGTTGTTGCAGCCAGGGCGGTGGGATATACTCTTGCCCTGATCAAAAGCAAATCTGAGCCTCAATTGTAAGTGTATTTTATTTAAAAAAAAAAAAAAAAAACTCCGAACTTGCCCTCTCTCTCTCTCTCTCTCTCTCTGCAACTGCAAACTACAAAATCTACAAGAATCAGAAGTTCAAAACCCATATTTTTCAGTTTATCAACCTGTCTGCAAGAATCAAAAGTTCTAAGGGTGGTTGTCCCTCTCTGTAAACGATGATATCCTACAAAATAAGGGATGGGAGATCATCTAGAGCCAATGATTTCATTTCCTACAGAATCAACAGCCCTTTGTGTATGTATATGTATATATATTTTTGATAAGTCTTTGTGTATGTATGTATATATATACATATATATATAAATATCCTTTATTGATACAAAAATCAATTTCCTCAAATATATACACGAAAATCTCCAAATAAATTTAAAATAAATCCGCAACACCAACTCTTCCATCTAAGCCCGAAACTAGCAATCCAAGCTCATCCTCGGTACTTGAAACTGGAAGGGGGTGAGACAGGGGAAGTCCCAGTTGGAAAAACCATAACAAGAATTTCAAGGAGGTTTCATGAAAATTAGCTTCACAAAATATAGATATGCTTTTGAACAAAAATACATATATGCAATTTTAATATATATATATATATATATATATATATATATTTGTGTGTGTGTCTCCAATCCTTCTTCCATCATCATCAATCATCAATCATCAATCATCATTATAAGAGGCTGTGATGATATATGTTCTGAGTGGATCATACTGGCATTGAGAATCGGATCTGTTTGTTGGCGGGGCAAACCAGAGGGTCTGTGGGAGAGAGATTTGGTTCTTCTCTCACAGGCAACTGTTGTTGCTGCCAGGGCGGTGGGATATACTCTTGCCCTGATCAAAAGCAGATCTGAGCCTCAATTGTATGTTATGTATCCATAAATAAACCCCTGAGCCTCAATTGTAAGGGTATTTTATTGAAAAATTTCAAAAAAAAAAAAAAACTTTAAACTTGGCCTCTCTCTCTCTCTCTCTCTGCAACTGCAAACTATAAAATCTACAAGAATCAGAAGTTCAAAACCCATATATTTCAGTTTATCCATCCGTCTGCAAGAATCAAAAGTTCAAAACCCATATTCTATTTGGTGAGGCTCGTTCAGAGGGATGGGATGTTTCTAAGGGTGGTTGCCCCTCTGTGTAAATGATGATCTCCTACAAAATAAGGGATGGGAGATCATCTAGAGCCAATGATTTCATTTCCTACAGAATCAACTGCCCTTTTGTGTATGTATATATATATATATATATTTTATAAGTCTTTGTGTATGTATATATATTTATATATATATTTGTGTGTGCGTGGGCGCGCTGTGGACTGGTGCATCTCCAATCCTTCTCTTCCATCATCATCATCATCAATCATCAATAATCAATAATCATTATAAGAGGCTGTGATGATATATGTTCTGAGTGGATCATACTGGCATTGAGAATAGGATCCGTTTGTTGGCGGGGCAAACCAGAGGGTCTGTGGGAGAGAGATTTGGTTCTTCTCTCACAGGCAACTGTTGTTGCAGCCAGGGCGGTGGGATATCCTCTTGCCCTGATCAAAAGCAGATCTGAGCCTCAATTGTAGTTAAGTGTATTTTATTGAAAAATTTCAAAAATCGACCCCCCCCCCCCCCCCCGCGCGCAACTGCAAACTACAAAATATCAGAAGTTCAAAACCGATATATTTCAGTTTATCTATCTGTCAAAGGTAAGTGAGGTGGCTGAGAGCAGATCTGAAATGGGGGATGATGTTTTCCGAAAATCTATGGGGATTGGTGGGCAGTGAAGCATTATATACATATATGTTGTAATTGTTTGCTTCCCTACTCCTCCCATTCCTATGGTTTTCGGTGCTTCTCTTTTTTCTTATTCAGTTTCATCATCTCTTTTACACACGCTCAAACACACATGTATATGTATGTATGTATATATTGTTTATCCGTGTTTGTTGAGGCTTTTTCCTTGGAAACGAAGAAACAATCAAGCTTTCTGCTATTTTGAAAATCTGGGCTATTAGAAATGAAGCTTTGCACAAGGGAGTTCAAGATCAAGCTACACATGTTGCACAAGTTATTGTTTGGGAGGTTCTGTCATACCTCAAGATTCGATTGGAAGATTTACTACTAATTTTTTAATGCTGCGGTTTTCTCTGGTCTTCTTGACAGTTTGGTGTTGCTGGGAATTGTTTCAGTTTGTGTGTGCCTGTTGCAGAGCTGATTCTGGTATCTAGTTCTGAAACAAATGGAATTTCTTCAGGTCTCTCTGGAGTTTTGTTTCAACACAATGGGATGGTTTATTGAATTTCCAGATCAGAAATTTTTCATGCTGAGCAGGCTTTTATTTGGGATTAGTTTCTGAATATTAGCTTTGTTTTCTTTTGTTTTTATCTTTCTGGTTATTCTAGTCAAGTTTGGTTTCCTTAGTTGTGTTTGGAAATGGATTTAGTCCATTCCTGGGCTTGTACTGGAGGTTGTCCTCCTGTTTGTAATTGTACTACTTTTGATTTATATATTAAAAAAAAAAAAAAAAAAAAAAAAAAAAGCCTCCCCAATTGCCTCCATCTCTATTCTCGTTCTCAACTCTCTCTCTCTCTCTCTGTGCAACTGCAATATACCAGAATCAGAAGTTCAAAACCCATATATTTCAGTATATCTATTTGTCTGCAAGAATCAAAAGTTGAAAACCTATTACCTATATCAAAACCCATATAGGCATATCATTTCAGATGGTTCAAAAAATCAAAACATTTCAGATCTTTCAGTTTCCATCGTCCGCTGTTCCAGTTCAGGTTTGCCTTTCGAGTGAATTAAATTACTTACAAAAATCATGCTTTTGAGTGAATTACATAGTGTTGGAAGGGGGCTTGCCATGAACTACCTCACACGGAAGAGATAGGGTACTAAGTGGTGAATTGTTCAGACATAAATTGGTAATTTTTTTAAATTAAGTACCCAAATAGGATTTTCTATGCCTTAATCAGTTAATTGTCTAAAGAAACATTGTTAATATATTAACCAAAATTGAATTAAACAACAGTTGATTTTGGTTGATATATTTTTATTTAGCCCACCCCATTGAGAAATACTGAATCCGTTTAATAGTATGTGTCATGTACGTATTTAGTCATAGAAATTCTCCTGGTATAGCATTGTTCATGGATTCAAAAAGGCCAAGAGTGATGCTATACAAACATATTTTTATATAGAAATTTTTATAAATAATGAAAAAAGCAACAGAGGCTTTAGATTCATATATAACAAACGACCACCAACACATCTTTATGATTTCAAAATGCTTCTCTAATTGTACAAAGTAGAGGAATCATACCTTCTGGTCAACATAGGCTGCCCAGAAGCAGGCGACGGCACGATCAGAAGGGAGGATGGAAGGACAATGATGAGAGACTCACATATGGGCTTGTCACCATGGATAAGAACTGGAACTTAAGTTCTCTTCAAGGTATTCATTCTCGACAGACTTTATGCTGAGAGCGAGTTGAACTCGTAATGCATATGGGCTTGGCTGCGCTCCCAGGAGCTTTACATCGCTCGTCGCCACGGCCAATTCTCAAGCAACAAAAGCTTAAAATGCTGAAAACCAGATGTAGGTGTTTGGGCGGCTGAAACAAGATTTCTTGGTACATATGAGTATTGTTTGTCTTGATGTAGGTGTTTCATGTGTGACTTAGTCTTAGAGGAACATAAGCAGAGGCAAAGAAAAGGACTATAAACATTCAGTGAGACTTTAATTAAATTTGGTAACTTCACACAAGCTTCATTCTAATACCACTGCGTTACAAGGAGGCACAGAGGCATTAGATGCTACATTTGAATAAAAAGCAGAAGGAAAAACAAGAACAAATATCGAAGACCAAAAGGTTGCTCAAGTTATTATTACCAAGTGATTGGATCATAGACATAGGCAATGTCAATTGGAAGTAGGAGCGTTTGCTCTGGCTTCGGTGATTGTCTCAATAAGCTTCTCGGGCTCTAGAAAGACATTTTTCACAGCACCATCTGAGCAGAACCTCTCAGCCCATTCCATCAGACGCGGTGTCTTGATCTCTAGCAGAGACGCGGTTCCCAAATACTTTGGTATCATCAGCCAACCCAAGAAGCTCCCAAATGCTATGTCAAGGTACCCAATACTATCCCCACCAAAGAAAGCCTTCCCCTTGCTACACCTGACAAATGCCTCCTCCAGCATCACCAGTCCTGCAACCACTTGCTCTGTTGCCGCAGCTTTCGCTTCCTCTCCTTGTACCTTCCAAATCTCTTTCAATAATGGAAACCACTGCAACCATTTCAATTACATAATAAAATTGTTACAATAAGATTCATGATTTACCTCCCCAAAAAAAAAAAAAAAAAAAAAAAAAATTCATGATTTACAGAACATAAATGACATGCCACTAGCTCAGTAAAGAAACTCTTGAATTCAGAAAGCTATATAAACCGAATTTTTATGTAGAGATTCTTTACTTGGAAAAACAAAATATATAGAGATTTGTATACAAACAAGATGACTGTCAGTGCATCTTATGATTCCAAAAATGTCCTTACCATATTATTCATTATCAAGAAATTCAGGTTTTATAAAATAGGTGCATAAATCATACCTTGTCATCGATGTAGGCAGCCCAGAAGCGAGCAATGGCACGATCATATGGATCCGAAGGGAGGATGGAGGGACCTGAGCTCCATACCTCATCAATGTATCGGACAATGATGAGAGACTCACAAATGGGCTTGTCACCATGTATAAGAACTGGGATTTTCTTGTTGGCAGGATTGGATTCAAGGAGGAGCTCACTCTTGGAACGGAGGTTCTCTTTGAGGAACTCATATTTGACAGACTTTATGTTGAGAGCTATCTGAACCCGATTCACAAATAGGCTTGACCGTGTCCCGAGAAGCTTCACATCAGTCGTTGTCGTTGCCATGGCAATTCTCAAGCAACAGAGGCTTTAGATTTTGAAA